AAAATCAGCTCTGTGTGCAATATATCTTCCCTCCAAAAAAAGTTCTACCAATAATCCTTACACGTACACTTCCCATCCCTAAAATGATGAAACCGGCTGCAGTCCCTCACCACAATCTCCCTCCGAAAAACTCTCGAAACCATCTTGATCGCCAGGTGGCAATCCGTACAAATCCTGAGATTCTTAACAACCCTTATAGGCGCTCCAGGCGGCGTACTGATAAGCCCAAACGCGACCGCAATCTTTTCACTGTGGTGCATCACAGCATCTTCCTTCTCCTCTTCCTCCACATCTGCAAGCACTCCCAAAGTCCCGGGATCATAACCTTCCTCAACCCTCAACCTCCTTCTCATCTCCCTCAACATCTCGTATATTTCCTCCGTGCGCGGGTGCGACTTATCTCCCATCACAAACTCGTGACTCGTGTTTCTAACCTCCACTAGACTGTGCCCCGGCACTTTCCGAACCCCTTCTCTCACCATCGCCCGTCTCACCTTATCCACGTCACACCACCGCCTCTCGGACGCGTAAAGGTTCGACAAAAGCACGTAGTCTCCACAGTGCTTCGGCTCTAATTTCGCAATCTCCTTTCGCGCTACTTCCCCAATTCTCACGTTCCCGCGCAACGTGCAAGCCCCGAGAAGCGTTCGCCAGATAACTGCATTGGGCTCAACCGGCATGTCACGAATGTAGTTATAGGCCCGTTCGACTTTGCCAGCCCGGCCCATTAAGTCCACCATGCATCCGTAATGCTCCATTCTCGGGACAATTTTGTATTTTTCGATCATTTTTTTTAGGTACGCGAACCCCTCGTCGATTAGCCCGTTGTGGCTGCAAGCGTAGAGGACGCCGATGAAAGTGATTTCGGTGGGGACCACTTTTCTTCTCTCCATCTCGTTAAAGACCCGAATTGCGTCCTCTCCGAAGCCGTTGATGGCTAGCCCGACTACTAGGGAGGTCCACGAGACAACACTCTTTTCGTCCAGCAGGTTAAAGACTGACTCTGCCTCTGCCATGTGGCCGCATTTTGCGTACATTACGAGAAGGGCGTTTGCGGCGTGTTGGTTTGTGTCGAGGCCAACTTTGGACATGTACGCGTGGGCCCGCCTGCCGAGGGCTAAAGTGCCGAGATCGGCGCACGCGGTCAGCAAGCTGACGAGTGTGAAGCCGTCGGGCTTCACGACAGTACTACTACTAATACTCTCCGAGCTCATTCTTCTGTAAAGTGTTAAACATTCGTCGGGCATGCCGTTGAGGCGGTACGCGTTGATGATAGAGTTCCAGGCCACGAGGTCCTTTCGAGGAATTTTGTCGAACACTTGGTGAGCGCTCTTTGCTTGGCCACAAGCACCGTAGAAATGGATTAGAGCGTTCTGAACGAATCTCAGAGAGGTAAACCCGTCTTTGAGAGCAGCGCAGTGGACCCTCTCGCCGTCTCTCAGGACCGTTAGTTTAGCAACGGCTTTGAGAAGGAAAGGGTAGGTGTGGGTGTCGGGCCGGGCCGAGCTCGCGCGCAGCTGGGTGTAGACGTGTAGGGCTCGGGCCGGGTGGTCGCTCTCAGCGTAGCCTCTGATCATGGTGTCGTAAGTGAATATGTTGGGGTCGGGAATTTGATCGAACACCTTGTGGGCGTAGGGCATTATGGGGCCCGAGAGGGAGACGAGAGCGAAGATGAGGTGCTTGCCCAGGTCCGGACAAGAGATGGGAACGCGGCGCCTGATGGCGAAGGCGTGGAGTTGCCTCAGCTTGGGGAGGGATGAGGCGCACGAGTTGAGGAGGGCTATGCATTTCTTGAGGATGTACGATTTCTTATTACCAAGGTCGGCCGAGGGCGAGTGCGATTGCAGAGGCTGTTGCTCCCAACTTCGCATCTCATCTCATGTCTTGTGCATATTCAAGTCTTTCGCAGCAAATACAAATTATACAATAGACTCTTGAATCCCAAAGTTTGATTATTTAATTTGTATCTCTGTGTATGTTCATGCCGCGTCTGGATATGTTCTTTGATACAAATTATTAATTTCTGTATGAAGCAACAAAAATTCAATTTTTGTCCGTTTATTTATTTAAAATGTTTTTTTATACACTAACATTTCCTTGTAAAATAGTACGTTATTTTATAATTTATATTATTTTTGAGACATTAATTCCAAAATTAATTAGTATGTTATACAAATTGTAAGATAACGTATTATTGTAATGTCTCAAAAATGATACAAATTATAATATAATGTACTATGTTTTATAAGGGAGAAGTTGGTGTACCAAATAAGACTTTAGACAAATAAACAGACTAAAATTGAAATTTTACCGCATTAGCCTAGTCATCCTTCATATTACATGAACAAAGATGGATACTTATCTATATCTATACTAATTGAAAGAGGTTGTTGGATGTTTTACTTTTAGTAAGTAACTTTGGAACAAATTTATTTCACTCCAATGAAGGAAATTTTGAAAATAATTTAAAGAAAAATGTATTTAGCTTATTTATTTGGAAAAAAAATATTTGGAAACTTTACGGAGGAGATTTTGTTTTCCAAATTTTTATGAAATTGTTTTTTGTTTCTTACTTTTATGTATGAAAGGAAAATCTATTCTTTTTTTTTTAAAAAAAAATGTGAAATACGGTTTATATTTTTATTTTCATTTCAACGAATTTATAATTTCGTTGGCTCTATTACCATTATCAATATTTTACGGTTGATATTTTTATTTTTAATTTTTATGAAAGTATTTAAAATGGAATCGTCTTTTGTTTTCGATTTTTACATATGAAAGGAAAATCTGCATTTATTTAAAAAAAATAGGTAAACTTGCAAAAATATAAGAAAATCATTATCATAATTATTTCATATTTACATATCAAATCGAATAATTCAAAAAATTCTTGATTTCATTATCAAAATTTCGAGATTATATATGCTTTCATGGATTAAATTTTATTGAATTTGAAATTCTGTTTGGTTAATTAACAAAATTTATTCTCTTAGAAAACTATACGAGATCATTATTACCAATTAAATAAATAATTGCAAACTTGATTATAAGGATGTGTTGTTTGGGAAAATGTTCTCCTACCCACGGTGGACACATGTTAATATGTTCATCGCTTTGGCATGCATACATTGGTGATGTATTTTTTCTAATATATTAACATCACAATGTGTGCATGCCACATAAGTGATGGGCATATTAACATGTGCCCACTGTGGGTAGGGGAGCATTTCCGGCGTTGTTTGTGTAAGTGTAACACCAAATTTGCACCCAACATTTTCCTTATATTTTTATTAATTAATAATGGAAATCACTTAGCAGCAAATAAAAAATCACATAGTAGGAATTTGATTTTACCTAAAGTGATATACGTTTGATTGCATTGAATTTTTTTTTTTCTTGTTGAAGCAATTACTAGAAAATTACTATGTAGGAAAGAATTAATTAATTTTGGCACGTTTTCCACCATTTTATGTTTTTATAATAAACTAGTACAATACCTGCGTACTACACGGGTACTTGTTAAAAAAATTAATTTAAAAATAAAATAATAATAACAACAATAATTGTCAAAAATTAAATATATGTATTTATTAAGTTAATTTGAGGTTTTTATGGAAATTAATGAGCTGATTGAGAGCTTCCAAAACAAATCAAAGTTATATTAGTCAATCAATATCATTACCAAAGGTTCTAATACAACTCAAGGGTTATATTAGTCAAACTATTATGGAATTACCAAGTTAATTTTTCAATATTTTTGGAATGCCCGAACCTAAAATTATTGATTTAGAATAATATTATTTTTTATCCAAACCAAACTACGAAGCATGTTTATTTGCCGAGTAGGATTCTGAAGCATGCGGAGCTGCCATTTAGGCTCAGCGCATTCTGTAATTATATATAAGGGAGATTAGTTGTTAGTTTTTATATAGGCTATATTTGATAAATCTAACTGAGAAGTTAGCTGATATAGTAAAAGTGTTTGATAAATTAGATGATAAATTGGTTGAAATAAAAATTTCAGCGGGCCTTTTTGAAAAGATACCTAATGAAACTTATGAGATAAACTACACTTTTCTTTTAAAAAAAAAAAGAAAAAGAAAAAAGAACAATTTTATGTCGTGTTTCACTAGACGTGTCAAATTTGTAATAATGAATTTTACTTCGAATCCCACCAGTGAACCAAATTTGTAGCAATGAATTATATTTGATGTCCCACTGGACTTGCCAAATTAGTAACAACAAATTTTGTTTTTTCTTGCCAAATTTGTACAAGAAAATGTTATAAAAACCATAATTTTTTTGTACAACTTGATTTTATTTCGATCAAACTACACTGCTGGTACAATCTCTATATGGAACCCTCTGATTATTCTTTTCGTGGACTTGTATCTTCATAGATGGATTTCTTTCGTGGCTGATTTCATTCGGAGCTTGATCTTGAATTTCTCTAATATTCTGAGCTCCATACATGAGGGAAGGACTCTAGGATGTAGAAGTAGGGGACGGGACGAAAAGAAAGAACGGCTCCATATTACAACTTGACTTGATTGAAGACGACATCTTGACGGTCTTTCTTATTTGATTGTTCTTGGGGAGGGACTTGCACTTGACTTGAATGTTTTGGATTTTCAGGAACACTTTCTTGACGGTATTTCTTCTTTAGTCGTTCTTGAAGAGGGATTTAGACTTGACTTGAATGTCTTAGATCTTCTTGAAGACCTTCTTGACAGTCTTTCTTTTTTGATCGTTCTTGGAGAGGGACTTGGACTTGACTTGAATGTCTTAAATTTTCAAGTACACATTTGAATCTTTAAGAATTATGAGAGCTCTCGAACATGAGATTTTGATATATGAGGTGTGATTTTTGACTTTAGAAATTGAAGAAGACATCAATTTGGATTGATGATTTGGTACAGTCTCTATCATAATCCTATGACTTGGTGGAAAAAAATAATTATTTTGTTAATATATCTTATTTATCTTGAATATAAGTTTAAAAATAAATAAAACGTTAAAATTTTGATGTCTACACTCTCCTACTAAGTTTATTTGAATACACAAAGTTTATAAAAAAACTAAATAAGTTATACATAGTGGAGAAGAAAGGATTTAGTAATTTATAATTTTTATATATTTAATTTTTACTTGTAATTTTAACAATTTTATTATTACATGATAAATTATATTCTATTTAATTTTAATACAGTCTCAATCTTTCTTTCCCCTTATATGTACTAGTTGGAAAAAAAAAAAAAGATGGATCGACCGATAAAAAAGAAAACACCAAAAGAAAAGGATGGATAGATGAATATTGTAAAAAGAATTATATAATTATAAATCAAATGTTAAAAATTTTATATGGAGACAAAATTGGAAAATAAATATTACATCCAGTTGATCCCTCCTGATTTATTACCATTTCCGCATAACTCGTAATCTAATCGTACCAGAAAATAAAAACCCATATACCCGAGACAAAAAATCATAAAAGGCTTTGCTTGCTCTATCCCTTTAATTCAGTCTCTTTCCCTTCTGAAACAAGCAATATCCACATGCTTCTTATATATACACACAACTCGCACATATATATAACCGGAATAAAGGTCATCGTCATATCTTTTAATCCCTGTTGTTTAGCCTCTAAGCATTGCCCTTCCCCACTCTACTACCCTTCACTCACTAATATTCTCCCTCTCACCTTTTCTTGTTTCCCTTATCAAACAACAATAAATCTGCTAATTTCTGTAATAGAATCCCATTTAGTTTCTTTTTAATTTTCTTGATTTTCCCCTTTTGACCAAAATCTTGGATTTTCCACTCACAACATTTTAGTTTTGCACTCTCTTGGATCTTTTTCACACACGGATGGGAAATACTTGCTTTGGGGATGCTTCCAAATCGACGGCGGAAATTGCGCCGTCGGAGCTGGTAAAACCCCCTCCGACGATCAAACTCTACGGCCAACCCGATAGCTTCGCGACCTCCCACATCCGATTGGCCCTCCTCTACAAGCCCGTCACTCTCCAATTCGTCCCATCGGATGCCCACCCGAACCCGACCCTCATCTACAAATCCGAGGTCGTCTCCGGCTCCGTCGAGGACATCCTCCGCTACCTGGACGCCAAGTTCCCGGACCCGCCGCTGTCCGTGGCGGCGAGCGGCAGCATATGGGGTTGGTGCGGGGAGGCGACGCCTGTGGTGGTCTGGGTGGTGGTGCTGCAGCACCGGAGCGTGAGCTGGCACCTGGAGAGGATGGTTAAGTGGGCGGAGGACATGGCGGCGCGTGGGGGTAAAGCGATGGGGGATCCGTCGATGGGGAGCCCCAGGATGGAGGTGAAGAAGTTTGGGAAGAGCTACTCGCAGCTGTTGCAGGTGATGCTGGAGCACGCGCAGATGGAGGAGACCGTCCTCTTTCAGATCCTCGAATCCGCTGATCGAGGTATTCCTTTCTTTTTTTTTCTCTGTAAAAAAATCATTTTTATTAATTTGTTGCCTTATGCGTGCCTGGATAAATGCTTTAATTATAACCAAGTTCAATTACATATTTTTATTTTTATCAAACTGTGAAAAATTCAGTGGGGGGTAAAATTTTCCAGATTTATAGATACTTAGATAGGGTTGTGGGATCCCTGATGTAAGAAAGGATGGGAAAAACCAAACCGGAAGAGATAAACCGAGCCCAACCGTGCAATTTAATGCGGTTTGGTTCAGTTTTTTTTGTGTGGAAAATTTTCGGTCTGTTTTCGATTCAGTTTTTTTCTACACTATGGCACAATTATTATTTTCTACAAGTTTGGTTTTCGGTTCGGTTCGTTTTTGCACCCAAACCACACGAAATTAAATTAAGTGAATAAGGGGCAGTACCAAAAACCGAGCCGAACAGTGCATTTTGATAGGGTAAACGTAATTCGGTTCATTTTTTTCTATGCTACGGTGTGATCCGGCTATTTTTTTTGGTTCGGTTTTCGGTTTTTGCGGTGTTGTAGCAAACCGCACCATTGCTCAACCCTAAATGTAAGTTGTCAAGAAGAGCTAGCACCGAGAAGTTGGGAGAATAGGGAATTGTAATCTTGTGCTTTGTCCTTATTAGGCAATTGTAATCTTTTCGGTTCATTCTGGTGAAGGTTTTTAGAGGGTGAAAAAGAGCATAATACTGGGAACATGGTAACCGGTAAGGAATGTTATTCATTTCCTAAAGGATTGCTCGGTAAATGATTGCTCGCTACTTGCTAGGCCTTATGGTTAGTAATTTCAGGATAGAGCCTTACATTTTGGGCAATTTTTTCTTATTTTTGTTATTTTCTCTCCTAAATTTTTCGAATTCTTCGAGTTACATTTTGGTTCTTGCTCCATATGCAATTTATTAGGTCTTTGATCTCAAGGAGTCGAGAATCGAGATTTGTGTGGTCAATCAAGAGAAGGGGGCAAAGTAGTAACTTCGTATTATATGCTTTAATTGTGAACCAGATAAGTTTAGAGCTGATGGAGAATAGATTGAGCATTTGTCCAGATGATAATCAACTAAAATCTAATAGTGTGAGAGTGGGGAGCTTGATCTGTGTTGCCACTAATCACGCGAATATTTTTTAATGCCTATTGAGTGTTTGTAGAGCCTGTAACTGAACTATTATCCGATGTCATAACACATGGGAGATCTTTTGACTCAATCACACCTTTTTTCTTTGTCTTTTATGTTTCCTCTTCTTTTCCTTTTCCTTGGGTTTGATTTTACAATAATAGTTTCTAGTGGTTGGTATAAATTGAGGGTGTCTCTAATTCATTGATGATGCTTAACACGAAAGCACAGGGTTATGCAAGTCCGCGAATGAGGAACACGCACGACATTTGCCTATAATGAATGGTATCAAAGAAGAGATAAAGACCATTGGAGTCATGAATGCGGGAAGCCCCGATTATCAAGAGGTCCTCATCAACCTTACATCTCGTCTCAAAAGATTAAAGGTGGGTTTTTTCGAGTCACGAAAAATGAATCCCATTTGAAACTATTGTATTAGCTAAAATTATGACTGAGACATGTTTATTTTTTGAGTTAGATTTTCGATATGAAGTGTGATTAAATTTTTTGTTAACTAGAATGAATATTTTATCCTAATAAAACCTTGAGTTCTATTTATATGTTAATCTTTTGACCAGGAAGACTGCAGAAAGCACTTTGAGGAGGAAGAACGAGAGCTGCTGCCGCTAATGGAGGCAACTGAATTAAACAAAAAGCAGCAAGAGAAAGTATTGCAACAATCATTGGATGTGATGCGCGAAACACATTCCCATTTGTTTCGGTTTTTTATGGAGGGCCTTGGACCTCAAGATGCAATGCACTACTTTGACTTGATCAAGAGATACTGTGACAATGTTCGAGTATCACTCATGCTCCACATGATGGTCGATTAAAGGCAATTTTTGTTTTGATCGATTATTTGGTTGGTTCAATTTACTTCATGATAATCGATGGCATTATCGACACAACGACTAACTTTTGATATCGTTTGCTTCGCTCTCAAGGGGCAACAACTTAATCTCCTTTTTTTTGTTGTAATTTGGTTTTCTCTCAACATTCGGCTGCCTGTGCTTACTGTCATGTTGAGAGTGTATCATTAGTCATTTTACTGTTCTTGATTGATGCAGGTGATTAAGATTTGAAATAGATAGTAATTTGACCTGCTACTATTTCTGTTTGTATATTCGCTGAACTCTGGAAGTTTTATACTTTACAATTGCCTGAAATTTAGAAAATTTGTATTAGTTTCACATGAATTAATAGAGTGGAGAATTTGTGTTAGTTTCACATGAATTAATAGAGTGGAGATATTAATTTTAGTTGGCACTTGGCAGGCGCTAAAACACTTTTTTTTTAATGGTATCATGTATCAGATTTAGAGCATGTTTGTTTATAAAATTTTTTGGTTTTGTTTGGATTTTTTGATTTGGTTTGGTTAATTTTGAAAAAGGTGGTATGGTTAGTTGTTAGTAGGTATATTAAAATAATATTGAAAATAAAATAATTAAAATTGATTTGATGTAAAAGTAGGAGAGAGAGATTTGAAGTGATGGTTAGTTAAAATAATATGAGTGGATGAATAGTGAATTAAGGTTGATGTAGTATGTATGAATGATTGATTGATATTATTTAATTATATTGATAATTTTGATAATAGTGAGGTTGAGTTAAAGTTGAGTTAAAAAAAGTAGTTGAGTTAATTTTAAATATTTTTTAAGACTTTATTTTAAATATAATTCCTTATATTTTTTCACATCTCATCACATTATGGAAATAAAATAAATACAAACAATGAAAAACATATATTATTAAACACTTCTCTTTATATAATATTTTTTTTATTTAAAGAATATTATTAATTTTGATTTTTTTTAAAAATAAATTATCCAATATATCATTGTTAATGTACAAAAAATAATAGAAAGATTCCAGACTTTAAAGTAAAATAATTTTTTTTTTTCAAAAATCAAATCATCCAATTTTTTTTTTTAATTTCAAAAACTTTGGCAAGTTTGTTAATGAGATAAACCAAGTTATTATATATATAATTCATTAGTTAAAATATTATATTAATTATATTTTAAGAAATAAATGCAGATAAAAAAATATTATATTCATTAGTTTGTTAGCAATGTGATTATATGGAAGTTAAGATAAAATAAAATATAACAAAAAAACCTGTTCGTGATCTTTTCCTTTAAATATTTGAATTTAAAAATCTAATAACCAAATTTAGACTATATCACATAAGAAAAAAAAATAATTGTTTATTAATATATTTAAAAATTTAATTTTGAATTTCAAATAGAGTAAAAGGCAGAATAAATCAAATTTGTTTTCAAAAAGTTTTTAAAGTATTTAATATTCTAGTAAGTATACCCCTAAAAATAATCTTACTATTTCAATTTTAAAAATATTGGCAAGTTTGTTAATGAGATAAATCCGGTTAGACAAAAGATTAATTAGTTAAAATATTATATTAATTATATATTAAAAAATCCAGTTAGATAAATGTAATATATTAATCAGTTTGTTAGGAATATGATTATATGGAAGTTAGATAAAATGAAATATATCCAAAAAATCTGCTTGTGATCTTTTCCTTTAAATGTTTGAATTTAAAAATCTAATAGCAAATTTAGATTATATAAGAAAAAAAATAAATAATAAAAATTTATTAAATAGATAAATCAATAATATTTATCACTTACATAATAGATAATAAACATTTATCACATAAGAACAAATAAATAATAATATATTTAAAAATATAACTTAGAATTTAAAATAAAGTAAACGGAGGGATAACTCAATCTTTTTAAAAAGTTTCTAAATGTTTAATATATGGTAAGTATATCCGTAAAAATAATTATATCATTTTTATTTTAAAAACGTAGAAAGTTTGTTATAGAGATAAATCTGATTAGATAAATCATTAATCAGTTAAATTATTATATTAATTATATCTTAAAAAATCGGTTAGATAATTTGGATGAAAAATATAATATTAATTAGTTTGTTAGGAATGTGATTATATGAAAACAATAAAATAAAATTTATCCAAAAAATCTATTTAGGATCTTTTTCTTTAAATGTTTGAATTTAAAAATCTACGAACCGAATTTAGATTATATCACATATGGAAAAAATAAATAATAAAGGTTTATTAATATATTAAAATAAGTAACTTTGAATTCCATATAAAGTGAAAGGCATGATAATTCAAATTTATTTTAAAAAAAATTCTAAAATAATTAGTGTTTTGGTATTTATATCCATAAGACTAATCGTATAATCAATTAAATAAAATATTATATTAATTATATCTAAAAATACCTGACTAGATAACTTGGATAAAAAATATTATATTAATTAATTTTCATGAATGTGATTATATGGAAGTTAAGATAAAATGGAATGTACCCAAAAAATCTACTTGTAATCTTTCCTTTAAATGTTTGAATTTTTTTTTTTTAAATTACAAAAAATTGAATAAGAATCATGAGCGGGAGAAACTAAATAATTTCGAAAAATATTTCTATTATTAGTAAAAACCAAAATTATGGGCGAGAATTTACATGTCTATTTTCGGATTTTTTCTTATTGATATTATATAGTAATAAATTTGAAATATGGGGTTACGCTGTTAGGATCCGCTAGTAAGCCGCCACCCGTGCGTTGCGTGGCCTAGTGTTAAAAATGATATAGGTGAATATAATGGACAATGCTATATATATAACTCGAGTCGAGCTCGAGCCCATATTTTTCATTGCCGAGTGGCTCAAGATATGTATTAAACTACTAAAACAGCCCATATATATATTAACATAAGTAGTTAATGATAATTTTACTTTTCTCTTTAAAACAGTAATCCAGGTTAGTAATTTTTTCAGAAGGACAAGATGGCCGTATATGTACGTTAAAGAAAAAGTGAGCAGAGAAAAATATTTAATAGAAAATGCCTAAAACAGTTCTTGCATTTATGGTAAACATATTGTTTTCTACTCAAATTACAACACCATAGCTTAATTAGTATTGTAGTAGTCTTTATTCTTGGACAGAGGTTGAAAGTCCTTACTGGCCGGTAAGAGTCGTAACATTGTTAACCGTCTGCCGTGAAGTGATAACAAACATACACAAAAAATTAATGGCATGGTGCGACGATTAAATCTTTACAAGGATTCAATAATATGCCTGTTGAATAGAGATCTCTTCGACAAACAGCAATATTATATAAAACTACAACAGTTCCTGGATAAATCATTTGAATAGAGATCTCTTCGACAAACAGCAATACCTGTTGAAGAAACGCATCGAGGTTAAAAATAACAAGCACCATATAGATCTGTCAAAAATCACAAGTACAGCCTCATTTAACAAACTGCACGCATAGAAGAATGTCGTTTTGTAAACTATCAAGTATAAACCTCAAGTATTTGTAATTTTAATAAATAACTTTCTTTTTCAAAATCAATATAATAAATTCGGCTCAAAATCAGAGATTACTTGTAATTAACTAAGAGGTATAGTAAAAGAGCAAGAGAAGATGCAATTACGCAAAACCCAAGTACTTTTATTTTTCGACGCTTCAGCCTTCAAGTGAGTTTCTACTGATTTTGCTTGCAAGCCATCTTCTCAAACAAAATGCCAGCAAGCATCTTCAGTTGCTCCTCGAGGTTTGTTCCAGTTATCTGTGACCCAAAAATGCACATTAAAGCAAGAAGCCAAAATGATATGATCACATGCATTCAGCACCTCAAAAATGCAAAAGTATCAAATAGTGCACGAGTCCGGTCTCAAACAAATGTGAAAAAATGATATTTTAATTCCTAGAAGTCTAAAGAATTTTCACAGTGAAAGGGACACAACAGGAAAATAGAAAACCTTACATGTGGTAACGATTTCTTCAGTATCTTCCTCTCCAAGAATAGTACTTGAGTGTCAATTGGAACCACAATGGAGGAACCCCCAAAATACCTCGAGCCAGCCTAGGGTCAAAAACGTCAAATTGCACACGTCTCAATGTGTCCAACACAAACTGTGTTGGCACAGCTGGCAGCATCACCGGGCGGGCCCCAACAGGCACAGTCTCGGCCAACTCACGGGCTTTCTGTAAATGTGCATTGGCAACAGATGCCATCTCATACACGGCACTGCACAACCCCTCACGAGAATCTATACGATTTTCCGACTTATTCACGAGCAGGCCATGCTTTTTCGCCACGTCAGCGGGTATATATAAAAAATGACGGTTTCGCCCAGCATGGTATGGAAGAGACCTAAGCAGCAAAGCAAGCCCGCTAGCCTTACCGATATGTGATGCGGCATGGTCTGCTGCTGTAGACCTGATACCATCTGTTTCAGAATTATTAGCTTTGGCCTTTGGGGAAAGGATAAAACCGTCTTAAGGTTCGGAAAAATCATAAATAAATAAATAATNATTCACTTATTACAGTAACAAAAAATGATTTCTTATAAAAAAGAAAAAAAAAAGGAAAAGAAATGAAGATACCTGCTTCGAGTGTTGAGTACAAAATTGTAGACATGGTGTCCTCAGCATACCTCTCCAAGTCCTCTATAGTCTCTGGAATATTAGAAACATCTCGCCTTGCATCATCTATCCTAGCTTGGACAGATCTTTTGAGCCAGCTCTTGCTAAACTTATGCTCGGATATCACAGAGGCTAACGCCTGAGCCACTGGATGCTCGACTAACTTGTTGGAAAATATCTTGTCAATGGCTTCCTGCCACCAGAGCAGGCGCATGAGGCCGATTCTTGGGTCGGAAGCAACATCCATGGCCCTAGCTGTCTCGACGTTAAAAGCTCTGAGTGCGAAAGCTGATCTTCTCATGTTTAAGGGAAGCTCGAGAAGGCAAAGGTAGTGGTGATAATCATAGTTCCGTACTTGTTGGACACAGTATGAGAAAGCAGTTCGTGCATTACTCATGTCGTTTTCTGGTTCGAGTTTAAAATTCCCTCTGCAGACCAGTTTGAAATTCACATAGTTTAGAAAATATTAAAAGAGAACCCCCATGTTGGATAAGAAAAGAAAAATTATATTCATTTACTGTATCTCTCTAAGAATATGAAGAAATATAGAATGTATATACCAAAAGCTGTGTGAACTATATAAATCCTTTCCCAACAATGGATCATGCCCCGTTAGGTGCCTAGCTCCTGAGACCTAAAGTGGTATGTAGGTAAATAACAACTAAGTCTGCAAAGGATACAGAAAAGTAGGGGAGGACATTAGTGAAAAAACAAAAAAGAAAAAATAATGTTGTGCAACACATTCAGCATTTATGCTTCTTCTTCAGCTTAATTTCTAAGCCACATTACTACACTAAGCCCCCATTAATCTACCAGCATCAAGAACAGTTTTAAAGTCCACCTAACAGGAAGGGGTCGCTACCAAAGTCCACCTTATGTTGATCTACAGAAGTAAATTGTGCAGTCTGATCACATAAATTTGCAACACACGGATTTCAGAATGAGCAAATGTAGCAGGGAAGTTAGAATCCATTTCCCCCCCATGTGCTAAGTGTTTTGCATTTTGACAATCAATCACCCGATGATTTCGATGCCTTGATAACAGACTCCAGCTTAATCTCAATCTAGTTGCACGTAAAATATCAAATTAAAGTTTCAGATAATAAGCCACTAATTTCAGGATGTAAAACTATCAAGTCAAATCCAACTTTTTTTTTTTTTTTACACTTTCCATCAAAACAGAGAGTTGAAATTTTCTAAGGTTATCCAAAGACTCCAATTTGTTCAATCAAACAACAAACAACTATTCCAAAAGCTATCACAATCACATACCATATGTAAAATTTTATATGCTCAATATAATTAGAAACTGAGTAACGAACAAAAATAAACCCAACAGTTGAAAAATTATAAACCTTTACCTACAGCTAAGAACCCATACAAAGAAGCAATATCAAGGTTCCATATGCTCGAAACCAACCAAACATGCAGATTTTAAGAGTCTTTCTCGAAAACAAATAAATAATCTAACTATGTTTCACAAGTAATATATGTTTAAATACCTCAAAACAAGAAGCTTGCGAAGTAAACCACGAAAATGAAGGATAAAATATGCTACAAAGGAAACATCATATCTTTCAAATTAATGAATTATCAGTAAGCATTAAATATTCATGTTTTCAAGAATAGATATAGTTAAAATGATTAGAACTTTTCAAATATAACAAGAAAATTAAAATAGTGATAACTGTTGAATATTTCTGAGTTATAGTGCTGATTTAAAGAAACCAGCCCAGAGTGATTCAAGAAGAAAACAGGGACAGAAAATTTATTTACAACCTGAACTTTACGTGTATTTTGGATTAGCAACCTAAACTTTATAGTTTGATAAAATCCGACTTAAACTACACAAAGTTGATGATTAACGACCTAACCCACCGGAAAAGTAGAAATCTTCCAGAAAATTCTCCCAAATTGCTCCAGACGGCACTATTTTCTCCATTGTGATTGCAAGAGTCGTTTTAACGTACTGTTATATCAAATCAATATATGAACCTATATTCAACTGATTATGATACGATGTAATTCGTGAACACAGATGAATCACAAAAAAGTATCAAGAAAGACTACTAAGGACCACTTTCAAAAGTTGCCATTGCAAGAAGCCTGCATAAACTTTCATTTTTTAATTTCTTATTTTGCCCAACTCTACAGCAAGATTCTTCAGCAAATTAATATTGTTAGTTTTGATGTGTGCATATATGAACCGGGCGAAAATGGACGGATAAATTGAAGAATCTGGGCGTATCAACAGATATGGCCAAAACCCAAAGCGACCACCCAAGGATAAAAACAACCCTCAGCTAGAAACTCCCCCTACGGCTAACTAGATATGAACCAAAGGACCTGCAACCCTCCAAAAATGGTCACCACCGGGTCAACACCTAGAGACCCGCACCAAACTCCACCACTGACACAAACCGTAGACCGCAAACCCACTCGACCAGAGAAGGAAGCGTCCTCAACGGAGGAAGCCACCTTCCTAATACAAGGAAAATGATAGGAATAGGGGAAAAGCAAAGTACCTAAATCATACCCAGCCTCCGCAAGACAGCAGCTGGGGCCCGCTACGTCGCCATTGTCGGCGTACCGTCGAATCTCGACAAAAACCCTACTATGGCCAATCGAGACAAAGATGAAGCACCACGCAAATAGTGGATTAAAGACCCGCTAGGGAGCTCGCTCCAGCCTACGAGATGGTCGAATCGGTGGGGTGCGGTGCACCCGTGGTGGAAAGGCGCAGACGGGAGCCAAAAAAAACGAGGGTTTGCTGGAGAGGAATTGGGAGAGAGGAAGAGAGATGATAAACNCAAATTATATTGTTCAGATTGTAATAAATTTTGTTCCCCAGAAAATAACACTTCATAAGGAAACATTTACATATATTCATCAAACATCATTTTGTTAGGGTTATATAAAAAACGTCGATTTATGCAAGTCATGAATTTAGTCTACAAAAGCAAGCTTAAAGCGCAATTGACTAAAGTTGGGTTTAAACACTCACAGCTTAAAATTTTTCGAAGACATTTCTGATTTTTGCTGATGGAGATCGTCTGAGCCTCATCGGATTGCATACATTAGACTACTCGAACAATCGTAGTGTCGATTTAGGTATTTACTTAAATTATGTATGCACTTTTGCTTCTTCTCATATTCTCGCTTGTAAGTGATGTGGTTTACTTTGTCTTTTTCACATATTCTATTCTCAAGAAGGCCCGTCTGACCTCTACTCTTTAGTGATGCCTCTACAATCCTCCATAACTGATGTTGGGGGTACTTCTAAGCTGCCACAACCTTCTTTTCAGCCAGCGTTCCTGGCAAATCTTCCTACTTTTCATCCGATCTCTCATTCAATGTTGCCATCGCTATCGAAATTCAGTGGTGCCACGTCGTGCCCTACACTGATGAAAATACCTCGCTCAAAGAAGCGAAAGATCATAGAAGCATCTCCAAAACTGGGAGCGACTGAGGTTTCTTCAGGGCCTGCTGTAACTGAGACCCCCCCAAAGGCCTAAAATAGGTGAGTCTTTTGTTGCTACTATCATGGAAGTGCCTCCAAGGATGGCAGTTTCCAATGGATCGATGACCAATCTGTCTATCTTCTCTCTATCTTCCCTGAGGGAGAGACAAACCGACGGCTTGGTGATCGAGCTGTCCGAGCTTCACATGTGCTCTCTCATACTCTTCAGTATAAACTTTGTTTTTGTCATAGTGCTTATATTTATCATTGATTATTTCCTTAACTAATTCTTTTATTTTTTATTCTGGTATCCTTCTTATCCTTTAGGCTTTATCTGGGCTCGGTCCTCTTCTGGATGATGAGCTGTAAGTTGAAGGCCTTTCCTGTGAGAATAGACAATTGAAATCTGAGGTCAACTAATTGTGGGTCGAGCTAACCTCTCGAGAGCGGGCCTTAGGCGAATAGAGAGCCAAGATGAAGGCTAAAGCTTCCAAGGCGCGAAAGGAGGCAAAGGCTTGTAAGGCCGAACTTGCTGGTCTTTGAACCGAGCTGGCCAAGATGCAGGAGGAGATGGAGGATGCAGACCAGCTGCAATCTCAGCTAAGACAGCTGGTCGGGTCAATGACCGAGCATGAGGTTAAAGCTCGCGAGGATAGTCTTACCCCATTCCCTGATTCAACTCGGGAACGGAGTTTATTGGAACGCTATTTCAGAAGTTGTTGTCCAGCTTTAAGAATTCAAAAGAGTTTTTATACTGGTTGTCACAAAAGTATATATACTGGTTGCATTATATATACTTTTGTGTGCAGATAATATTTTAAAAATTATTGATAATGATACAAAATATAACAAATTCTATGTAATTATCATTTAATCTATGATAATTAATATTTTTTCAAACTAAATAAGATACATCTACGTTTAAAAGTCCTTAACTATTTATTAGTATTATAATAACTAAATAAATGGTAAGAATGATGTTCTACGTGATAAAAAAGGTAAGAATAAACAATGAGAAAGTTTATAGATCGCATTCCATCCAAATGTAAAAAAAAGTTATAAAATTAATTAATGTCCTATGTCAATTGGAACTAACCAATAATAAATGTAAAACATCTTAAGGTGCACATTTATAAAGAATATACTTATTTTTGTGCATTAAAATCGGTATGTCAGTCTTAATCTTTTAGTTAATAATGTAATTACTTTATGCTTTTTAAACTTTTCAATATGAAATACTTAATATTCTTTATTTGTTGCCATTTTTATATGTAATATATTTCATAATTTTTTTCAATGATGTTTAATTTGACCAATGTATTGTAATAAAATAAAAATAATATAATTATTTATATCAATATAAGATAATAAAATATATAACTATTAATACCAATTTAAAATAATAAATGGACTTAAATGTATCTTATAAAATAAATCATAGATCCATGCAAACTCATTTTTATTAAGTATAAATAACATTAGATAAACTTGTGGTATGTTTTCTTACATAGATTTGAAATATTTATAATAAGAAAACGTGCAACTATTACCAACACTAACTATGTGAATTAAAAGAAAAAATAAATGAGATGTATGTTAAACTATTATTCAATTACCGCTTGAAAGGAACACCATAATGGTTGTAAAATATATTTTTTGTGAATATGAAAATGAGTTAGTTACTTAGTATTTTATCAAACATTGGAAAAAAAATCTAAAAATTTTTAATCTTATAAACAATATAAAAGTACACTTAATCAAATATATTATTACTATAAAACACATAAAAAAAAAAAAGTGCTCTAATTCTTTCATTAAATAAAATATTATTTGTGAATAAAATAAAAGCAAATAAAATAATAGTCATGCAATGAGGAAAAGAAAAAGTCCGAATTTTCTTAGAGAAGTCTGAATAATAATATTAGGAAACAAAAGTATTGCAAAATTACTACTTTTTTGTTGTTGTTAGCATTTAAGTATATGTTCTTTGCAAGAAAGTAGTTCTCATAAATAATGATCATATATTATCATAATATAGACCATAAACTTTAATCATGACTTCGTAATAATAAAATTCATAGATGACTACGAGTATCATTATAATAGAATTCAAATTCTCCTAATCTCAAATGTGTTGACAAATAATAAAGCCAAATATTGTTTTGTTTTGTTATTGTTGAAAAATCAAGAAAAGATCTTTATCTTGAATTTTCGAAGCATTATGTATGCTACAAAAAGTTGGACAATAATTGCATTAAATAATATATGTAAATCTGAACGAATGTGAATGGTTTATGATAAACAACTCTAAAATCATTGCAACAACCAAAATGCTCAATGATTTACAAACAATAGATTATGTAGTTCGTCTATCTTCCTAATAAATAACATTGAAAAGGAAATGTCTGATTCTTACATATTTTTGAATGTTTGAATAAGTTATCACTTTTTTATAGGAATATTTACAATCTCAATTGTGTATCGTGCTCCATCATATGCACAATTACTTTAGAGTACATACTTTCATGTAATAAGTAATGATTTTAAAAATTAATTTAGCGTTTGGGGTGAAGTAAAGAAAACTTTTCTTTCTTGGGCCCTTTGACCTCACTACTAGGCACCGGAAAGGAGCTCAATATCATCAATAATCATAACATTCCAGTCCTGGTCGTCTCCCATGCCTTAAAGCAATGGCTCACGGGGCACTAGAATGGCTCAGCCCTTACGTCTCACACGCCCTTATGCAATGTCTCACAGGGCACTGAACATAACATAATAATAAGTCAAGCCCTTATTACGTCTCACACGCTCTTATGCATTGTCTCACGGGGCACTTGACCTCGGTGCGTAGCAGCGACCAATTTAATAATAAAATACATTTTCTTTTCTCATTACGTAGTGCATGCGAGATATTCTATCTGATTATGACATATGCATGCACATGCTCATGAAATATATGCTATGCCCAATAACAAGGACAAATATCACATATCTATTGACATTATAAATACACATTAACATTAATTTCATATTACAAATATCAATTAGCATCATAAATACATATTAACATTAATTTCACATATAAATATCAATTAGCAACATAAAATACACATTAACATTAATTTCACATATAATCACTATTCACATAGTCACATAATTGAGTAAATAAATACTCAGTTTATGCATTGTAGTTGAAAATGAACTTTTACTTACCTGGGTCCTTAGCATGACCTTATAAGAAAATACTTGAAAACTTGATTCCACGTAATATCCCGAACTTTTAAACTTAAAGTTTTCTAACAAATCCGTATTATATAGACGAACTTGTATCTGTCTGTATTTTGTATATCATACCTTATAGTTTGAAACCTAATTTATAAGGAGCATAAGGTGGTTGTTTTTAATGAAAACTCGATGTGGGACTAAATAAATGCAACAATTCCATTCCTATTTGGTAATGCAAAACACTCCGACCGGCTTGAAATCGGCTCGTCTTCCTCCTCCTCGCCTGTAGAACGCCGCGCACCCGCACAGAACTCTCACACCGGAGGGATTTTCCGGTGAAGAGCCTCCGATGCTTAAGTCAGTGTATATTCTACTCAATTCTCCAAAGTATGTAATGGATAAATCGTAAGTCACAAGAAAAGACTCACTCCTATATATATAGGAGTGAGGTACCTGCCCTAGGAGCTGCCCGGATCTGGTGAGTTGTCCTGCTCGTACTGCCCGTCCGTACACACACAACATGCGTGTGTCAGAGGCGTCAGAGGTGGTTATCACCACTATTACTCTGCACCAATGTACTCTCGCCACGTGTCCCTCTAAGCAGAGGGAGATTATTCTCTGCTTATCCCATTAGGATCTTCTAACGCCACCCACGCGCTTTCTCGCGTTCAAGCCACGCTCTCGACTGCTCTTCACCTGTTGAGTGCTCGATCTGACCGAGTCCCCCGTCGCTAGGTCGATCCTCGACCAGTTCTGCTATTCTGCTCGATCTTTTCCCTTTTGGTCGAGCCTGCCCGACCAATGTGGTAAATCGGTCTATTCTTTAGCTATATAATATCACATATCATCTAGTCCCCCCCCACTCTGGTCGAGTCTAAATTACTCGATCTAAGAGTGAATTCGAGCTGTCTTCTCCGTTTTGCCAACCTCTCGATCTCCCGCTCACATCTGACCTCTTCTCTCGATCGTTTCGGTTGATGCCACCACCATTCTTCGACCACGCGATCGATTTTATGGTGCACTTTAACTGTCCTTTATTTCTTTTTATTATTAGCGTAATCGCCTGCCATATGTCCTTTCCGCTCAGTACCTTTAATCATCATGCCCCCTCGCGATTTTTGCCGCTTCGCTATCTGTGCCTCTTTAATTTCTTCCCACCGTTGGATCTCTTTTTATCTAACGGCTATCTCCATTAACTCTTCACCTTATTCCTCTGCCCTCTTATAAATACGATACTTAGTAAATTTTCCGACTTTTCTCACCTTTGCAAATTTCGAACTCCCTTGTGCCCTGATT